TCCTCCTCCTCCTCCTCCTCCTCCTCCTCCTCCTCCTCCTCTTCCTCCTCACTCCCTTATTGCATCGATGATGTTACCTAGTTGGGTCATGAAACGTCTGCAAGAAAACCACCAAGCTCAGAGACCACCAACGGGCCCCACAGTCCTCCTCCTCCTCTTCCTCCTTCTCCTCCTCCTACTCCTACAAATCCTCCCTCCCTTCTAGCACTGATGATGTTTCCTAGTTGGGTCATGAAACGCCTGCAAGAAAACCCACGAAGCTCAGAGAACACCAAGGATCCCACAGACGACCTCCTCCTCTTCCTCCTTCCCCCCACCCCCTCCCTCTCCTCCTCCTCCTCCCCTTCCCCAAATCCCCTTCCCTTCTAGCACTGACGAGGTTACCTACTTCAATCATAAAACGTCTGCAACCACCAAGCTCGGAGAGAGCCAAAGACCCCCACAGTTCAACCGTGAGCTGCAAATATTTCCTTGAATTAGAATAGAATAACAGAGAATAAAATAGTAGCGTTATTGTCACTTTGAATGCACGCTAATCGGCATGCATTGAAATGAAATTTCGTTGCATTCAGGTCTCAAAAGGGTCACCACCTCCAATATACACTGCATAAATAGGACATAAATAAATAAATAAATAAATAAATAAATAAATAAATAAATAAATAAATAAATAAATAAATAAATACAGAATGATGCACCTACCCACATATATTATACGACACAGAGAAACAACACAGTCTAGTTCGGGTTATGTATTACTTATCAGTGGAAATTCTGATCCCAATTATGTCATTAAGGAGAGGAGGACCTGTGCCTTGCAGTCAGATCAGCCCATAGTTTCTTCTGAAGCTCCATTAAAAAAAACAACAACCAAAAAAAACCAACTACCCCACCCTGCTCTTGTTTGATGTCACCTCCAAGTTGGGACAAGGTATGTGTCATGGTTCCGACAGATGAAACTCTTCCAAGAACTTTGAGGCAATGTTTACCTTAAAGAATCTTTATTCGACAAGCATAGCAGTGGCACGTACATAGCCAAAGCCAAAATCTGAATTCCCCTCCCCTGAGCCCATAGTATCAAAGCTCAATTCCCTCCTCCAATTAACAGTCATAAATCACATTCTCCAATTAGCTTGAAATGCAGGCTTTCCCTCCACTTCTCCAGCCGCCATTTCTTATCATCTCTTATTTCAAAAAACCTTGGTTCTCACACTAGTTACAGTATTGTTATGTCTTAACTAAACTCCGAGGCACATTCCTCCTCCTCCCCCCGCCCAGAATCATCTAATTCTAACTCTAATTCTAAGAGTAAAACATAAGAAGGAAAATGGCTGCATCTCCATATGTTGGTCAAAGCAAGAACATCCGATGTTGGCAGCATTGACGTCCTGTTGATGGGTTTCTGACTTTTGATCCTAGGCGTTGACCAAATTCTTGAAGTGCGTCAACTGGCACCTTCCTCAAGAAGCAAAGCAAGCTCTGGAACTCCTGGGCAAATGGAAGCCGATGGACGTCGAAGACTCCTTAGAGCTTCTGTCTTCGCAGTTCACCAACCCAACGGTGCGGCGTTACGCTGTGGCCAGATTGCAGCAGGCCGATGACGAGGTAACAGAATAACAGAGTTGGAAGGGACCTTGGTGGTCTTCTAGTCCAACCCCCTGCTCAAGCAGGAAACCCTATCCTATTTCAAACTAATGGTTGTCCAGTCTTTTCTTAAAAACGTCCAGTGTTGGAGCACTCGCAACTTCTGGAGGCAGGTGGTTACACTGATTAATTACACCTAGACACATGTAACCTTCATTGCTAAATTGTTTCCGGGTGGCATTCACACAACCCATAGTTTACTTATGCTAAAGGTAGAGTCAGCTTGGTTTTACTCATTTTTTCTGAGCTTGCAAATAGCAAACTATGAAGAAAGCATGTAGGCTGGATTCTTACAAGACGCATTTTGTTGTTATTGTATTTATTATTTATTAATAATATTAATAAATATTAATATTTATTTATGTATATGGCCATCAGACTCGCTTATTGGGATTCTGCTCAGTTTACAGAAATAAAACCCAGACACAAAACCTAATAGATCCCTACTTCCATAAATAATAATAATAATAATAATCTATCTATATAAATAAAAATGTAAATGTTCGTTTGTTCAAAATCTTAAATCTCCGAAAGTTCTTCACCGATTGCTTTGAAATTTTGACACAACGTTGCATTCGAATATGCACGTGTTTTTATATACCTATATTATATAGATGTCACACCTGTGACAGGTAAAAACATGCTTTTTTGAAAAACAGCGCCATCTGTTGGACGTAAAAGCAACACACGCTTTTACCAGACTGAGCCACAGCAACGCGTGGCTGGGTACAGATAATAATAATAATAATAATAATAATAATAATAATAATAATAATAATAATAATAATAATAGTAATATAACAGCAGCAGCAATCAAGTCAAGCACTTGATGGGTTCCACATTACCTTGGGATCTCTATGCCCACTGGCAAAACCATGTTTTCAGAGCCTTTTGAAAGAGTCTTAAGTTGAGGGTCAGCCCTATCTCTACAGAGATAATATTCCACAGGAAGGGAGCCACCACAGAGAAGGCCCTTAGAATAAAATAACAGAATTTGAAGGGACCTTGGAGGTCTTCTAGTCTAATCCCCTGCTCAGTCAGGAAACTAGAACATAGAACAGGGTTGGAAGAGACCTTGGTGGTCTTCCAGTCCAACCCCTTCAAGTTGGAGACCCCATGTCATTTCAGACAAATGGCTGTCCAGTCTCTTCTTAAAAACATCCAGTATTGGAGCATTCACCGCTTCTGGAGGCAGTTTGTTCCACTGGTTAATTGTTCTCACTGTCAGGAAATTTCTCCTTAGTTCTAGGTTGCTTCTCTCCGTGATGCCTTCCCTCAATGCCTTATTGTCCCCCCTGTAGATGAAGAATAGGTGGATCCCTCTCTTTTTTGTGGCAACCCCTTAGATATTGGGAGATGGCTATCGTGTCCCTCATAGACCTTCTTTTCATTAAACAAGCCATATCCAATTCCTGCAATTGTTCTTCATATGCTTATAACATATAAAGATAATAAGGAAGGAAGAGACTCTTCTCGGCTGTTTCCCTTGCCCTATGGAGTTTTCTCCCCTCAGAGGTGAGACAGGCCCCCAACTCTCAGAATAACAGAGAGGTCTGGAGGTCTTCTAGTCCAACCCCCTGCTCAGGCAGGAAACCCTATACCAGGGGTAGGCAACCTTGGCTCTTTTATGACTCGTGGACTTCAACTCCCAGAATTCCTGAGCCAGCATGGCTCAGCATGGAAACCTCTCCCTTTCCCCTCAGCATGGCTGGCTCAGGAATTCTGGGAGTTGAAGTCCACCAGTCATAAAAGAGCCAAGGTGGCCTACCCTTGGCCTATACCATTTCACACAAATGGCTGTCCAGTCTCTTCTTAAAAACTTCCAGTGTTAGAGCACCCACAATGTCTGAAGGCAAAGCTGTTCCACTGGTTGATTGTTCTCACTGTTAGTAAGGTTCTTCTTAATTCCAGGTTTCTTCCCTCCTTGATTATAGTAGTAGTAGTAGTAGTAATAGTAGTAATAATAATAATAATAATAATAATAATAATAATAATAATAATAATAATAATAATAATAATAATAATAATAATAATAATAATGATAAAGTTGGAAAGGACCTTGGAGGTCATCTAGCCCAACCCCCTGCTCAGGCAGGAAACCCTATACCATTTCAGACAAATGGCTGTCCAGTCTCTTCTTAAAAACTTCCAGTGTTGGAGCATTCACAGCTTCTGGAGGCAGGTTGTTCCACTGGTTAATTGTTCTCACTGTCAGGAAGTTTCTCCTTAGTTCTAGGTTGCTTCTCTCTTTGGTTAGTTTCCACCGTTGCTTCTTGTCCTGCCTTCAGGTGCATTGGAAAATAGGTTGACCCCCCCCACCTCTTCTTTGTGGCAACCCCTCAAATATTGGAAGACTGCTATCATGTCATCCCTAGGTAGAACCATCACCACCTCTTGCTTTTCCTGTGCTTGGTAGAAATTGACAGAACCGTCTTTCTCCTGTTTTTCTTAATATTTTTTTAAAAAACTATTTTATACAGAATGGAAAAAAAAACCACACAAGAAAATAAGAATTACAAACAAGACACAAATACGTATTTAATTGAATAAACATAGTTGCAACCATCTGCCTATGTAATTTGGAATAAAGTCAGTAATTGCAATAGCATTTTCTTGCAAGATTCAAATTTTGAAAGTGGTCTTGGGCAGAAAAACTGAGTTATCAATTTATTTTATTGTTATTATTATGTAACTGGAGTATTAAAGCATCGTTTGCAGATGAGGAGCTACAAAGTAACTGGGGAAAAAAGTGTATACAATAAATACAAGATTAGCCATTAACATATAACCTCCGCCACCGTTGAACGCTGATACCTCTATCTCACACAGATTCTGATAGGTTTACTTCCTTGCATTGCAGTTCTAAAAATGCAGCTAGTCCTCAACGTAACAACAATTTGTTTTAACGCCTGCTCAAAGTTACTCCGGCACTGAAAATAGTGACTTATGACTGGTTTTCACAGTGACAACCTTTGTGGTATTTTCCCCCTGGTCACATGATCAAAATTCAGGCTCTTGGCAACTGATTCACATTTAGGACGGTTGCAGTTTCCCGGTGGTCCCTTTTTCCGACCTTCAGACAAGCAAAATCAATGGGGAAGCCAGGCTTAACAACAACCGTGTTACTAATTTAACAGTTGCAATGAGTCACTTAACACCTGTGGCAGCAAAGGTTGTAAAAGAGGGCAAAAGTCATTTAACAAATGTCTCACTTAGGGACAGGGTCCCTAAGGATTTATACTCCTTGCAGACAGCTGGTCATTTGCCTTCTTTTAGAGAATCGTTGAGGCCACCTGGAGGTTTAATTTAAATGTCCTCAGGGTCACCTGAGTGGTACAAATGTGTGTGGAGCCTTCTTGGCTACAGGATGTTTTCTGCACACAGGTGACTTTGAGGACACAGATAAATCTCCAAGTAACCTCAACGACTCTCTAAAAGAATGCAAATAACCAGCTGTCTGCAAGGAGTATAAATCCTTCCATTCCCCACCATCCGGTCAGAGCTGAAGAAGCTTCTTGGATGAGAAGCGAAATGTCTTCAAAGAAAAACAAGAAAGTCCAGTTGCCTCCTTAAAAAAAAAAGCATCTTTGGCTTTCTCTACCATGCTGTTTTCTCTTCCCCCCTCCTTCTTAACCCCCAACCCTTTCTGGCCCCTTCCTCATTGGGGGAAAAAAATCACTTCCCATATCAAATTTGCCCACTTCCTATGTTTTCTCCCCAGGATCTGCTGATGTATTTGCTGCAGCTTGTCCAAGCTCTGAAATATGAAAATTTTGATGACATCAAGAGTGGACTGGAGCCCACCAAGAAAGAAACTCAAGGAACCGTTTCGGAAAGTATGGCGGCCTCTGGAGTCGCTGCAGCTGAAATAGAGAGGTAGGTGAGCATTTATAGAGGAGGCCCTATAGTTAGGGGACTGGAGGCTAAAACATATGAGGAACGGTTGCTGGAATTGGGTATGTCCAATTTAATGAAAAGAAGGATGAGGAGGGACATGATAGCAGTGTTCCAATATCTCAGGGGCTGCCCCAAAGAAGAGGGAGTCAAGCTATTCTCCAAGGCGCTTGAAGGCAGGACAAGAAGCAACAGATGGAAACTCATCAATGAGAGAAACAACCTGGAATTAGGGAGGAAATTCCTGACAGTTAGAACAATTAACCAGTGGAACAACCTGCCTCCAGAAGTGGTGAATGCTCCAACACTGGAGGTTTTTAAGAAGAGATTGGACAAACATTTTTCTGAAATGGTATAGGGTCTCCAGCTTGAGCAGGGGATTGGACTAGATGACCTCCAAGGTCCCTTCCAACTTTATTATTATTATAGTTACCACCATAATGGAGCCTGCCCACTATGGTTATAAACCAGGCATGTCAAACTGCCGGCCTGTGGGCCGGATGCGTCACGCCGAAACCACACCCACCCAATTGCCGGCAATGGAGGAAAAGTCCCGATACGTCGCGCAACGTCACTCAACATTGCGAGTTTGACATGCCTGTTGTAAACCATGACGGTTGTAAATTGGGTTACCTATTTGACTTTTGTTTATGGCCATCGTTAATCAAGCACTGTGGTTGTAAAATGACCACTATGGTCATTAAATGAATGCCACATTGCTTAAGTTGAATCACTGGTTTGCTATGGACCGCTTCTGCTGAAACAAGAAGCAAATGCCACATTTTGGAAATCCGTCGTACAATGCAATCATCTGACTTCAGGGTACCACAAATGGCCATAAATACAGAATTTGAACAGGGGAGGACCCAATTGACTCCAAAAATTTCTTTCTTTTTTATTAGTTTTATTCATTTATAACATAAAATGTGAAAATACAAAAGGAAATAGTCGTGGGACAACAGTAGAAAAAGGGGAAATAAAAAAAAAAAAACAGTATGGAGAAATGGAGGGGAAGAAACAAAAGGCATTGACTTCCGACTCTCTCTGATCTCAACTTTTTACATGTCTATAGTCGTATGCAGAAGCCGTTTCTGTATCGGCAAATCAGTCTAATCAGTAAAACCCAAAATCATGATATTGTTTTTTTCCACCTCAAGCATAAAGTCCAGAAGCGGTTTCCAAGTAGAAAGAAAAGTACTTACCGTATTTTCCGGCGTATAAGACGACTGGGTGTATAAGACGACCCCCAACTTTTCCAGTTAAAATATAGAGTTTGAGCGAGAGAGGGGGGGGGAGAGAAAACTTGATGAGTAATATGCCAAACCACATGCGTAAAGGAATAAAATAGAATACCCGTATTTTCCGGCATATAAGACGACTGGGCGTATAAGACGACCCCCGACTTTTGAGAAGATTTTCAGGGTTTAGAAAGTCATCTTATACGCCGGAAAATACGGTATGTTCTTTTCCTTGATCAGCACAGTCAATTTGGCCGTCTCTGCTCATTCGATCAGTTTTTGTAACCATTCGTCTATGGTAGGAATTGAGGCCATCCTTCCACTTTTATGCCTAGAGCAGGGGTCTTCAAACTTGGCCCTTTTATGATTTGTGGACTTCAACTCCCAGAATTCCTTAGCCAGCATGCCTGGCTGTGGAATTCTGGGAGTTGAAGTCCACCAGTCATAAAAGGGCCAAGTTGGAAGACCCCTGGTCTGGATCCAAGCCCGCAGTTTCATCAAAATGGCCGACTGAGGAATTCTGGGAGTTGAAGTCCACCAGTCATAAAAAGGCCAAGTTGGAAGACCCCTGGCCGCCCTAGAGCAATCTTGCTGCCGTCACCATATATATAAAACCAGAGTTCCAATTTTTTTTCCCAGTTCTCTTTCCATTAGACCCAGAAGTAAAGTTTCTGGTTTCATCTTTATGTTCACTTTAAGAATTTTCTGCACTAATGTATGAACCCTACACCAATATTTCTTTTCCTTATCACACATCCCCAGTAAATGATAAAAAGTCCCTTCTTTACATTTACATTTTCCAAACTGAGCCTAGAATTTCTGCGGCTAAGTGAGACGTTTTGTTAAGTGAGTTTTGCTCCATTTTACGACCTTTCCTGCCTTGGTTGTTAAAGGAATCACTGAAGTTAGCAAAAATGGCTCCCCCATTGACTTTGCATCTCAGAAGGTCACTAAAAGGGATCACATATCCCTAGGACACTGTGACGGTCATAAATATGAGTCATTTGCCAAATGTCTGAATTTTGATCCTGGGGCCATGGGGACACAGCCAACGGTCATAAGTCACTTTATTCAGGGCTGCTGTAACTTTGAACGGCCACTAAATGAATGGGTTATAAGTTAAGGACTCACCGTAGTATCCTTGGTTAATTATCCCCAAGTCTGCCTGATCCAAACAGCTTGCTTGTAAAAGAAAGATTGGAGTCCTCGGTGTTTAATGAGAAGAGATCTCCCACCCTTTGAAATTATGAAGCAATTACGGTATTCATATTTGAAGTTGCAGTTTTAAATCTTCTTGCTAGGAAATGACATCCATTAAACCCAGCAGGACACTGGTTTGCATGTTTACTTCTGAATAAATGTGCTTACATTGAAATAATTAAATGCACATAAGATTTCTACAGGGGGGGAAGAAAAAAAAAACCTCTTCAAGATGCAAATGCATGGAAGGTTAACTGGAGAAATAATAAAACATTTTCACTCTCCTGGTTTTTTTTTTTTTTCCCTTTCTCCCCCTCAGCTCACAGATCATCACAAGTCCTCTGCCTCTCATTTCTTCCCCGTTGCCGGCAGCCAGAGCGAAGGAATCGGCCGAGAATGAAAATCTCGAGGTGAGCAGAGAATCCAGAATGGACGTCCGGTTTCAGACGGATGAAGCTGTGCGAGTGGGGGAGAGCCTCTGTGGTTTTGCCTGCAATGTGTGTAGATGGATCCGCGTGGTTGTCGAAAAAGGCAAAAGGCTAGTCACAATCGGGCAATTGAAAACTGCCCTCCGCTTTTAAAAAAACAAAACAAAAAACCAGCCTGTATGTGTTTTTTGGTTTTTTAACGAGCGTGATTGATCGGATTGCAAGATTGTCACCACCATTTTATCTTCTCCACTGCTCAGCAATACTCATGGCTTTCGTTCATTTGTATTTTTATTTATTTATTTATTTATTTATTTATTTATTTAGTTAGTTAGTTAGTTAGTTAGTTAGTTAGTTAGTTAGTTAGTTATTAAATTTCTTTGCCACCGATCTCATGGCAAGAAGATTCTGGGGGAATGGGAGGCAACCACTAGGCCACCATGGTGCTCAATAATGTTAATATATATGTGATTTTATCCAGAATATATAGATGTGTGTACACACATACACAAATACACACACACACAAATATCTATCTCTCTATTATATGACTATCATCTATCTATATCTATCTATGTCTATCTATCTATCACTGTCTATCTGTCTGTGTCTATCTAACTATCACTATATCTATCTGTCTGTCTATCTATCACTATCTATGTCTATATCTATCTATCTATCTATCTATCTATCTATCTATCTATCTATCTATCTATCTATCTATCTACCTATCTATCACTATCTCTGTCTATCTATCTATCTGTCTGTCTGTCTGTCTGTCTGTCTACCTACCTACCTACCTACCTACCTACCTACCTACCTACCTACCTACCTACCTACCTATCTATCTATCTATCTATCTATCTATCTATCACTATGTCTGTCTGTCTATTTGTCTGTCTATCTATCACTATATCTATCTATCTATCTATCTATCTATCTATCTATCTATCTATCTATCACTATGTCTGTATCACTATATCTATCTATCTATCTATCTATCTATCTATCTATCTATCTATCTATCTATCTATCTATCTATCTTCTATGTATTGTCTCTTTCTTTCTGTCTCTCTCCTATCTACCTACACACATGTATATGCATATATATTCTGTCTAAAATCACAATAAACATAATAAAAAAAAATCTGTATTGCTTGTACTCCAAAACTATTACAGGTAAGTCCTTGACTTACAGATATTCATTTACTAACTGAAGTTACACCGGCACTAAAAAAAAAAAGGTGACTTATGACCATTTTTCATACTTACAGCCGTTGCAACATCCCCATGGTCAGTATTTGGATACTTGGCAACTGGCTCCTATTTATGATGGTCACTCGGTCCAGGGGTCGTGTGATTCTGTGTCCCAGATCTTAGGTACATAGCCAAGTTTTTAAAGCCTTATAAAAGCGCAGCCGGGTTGGGACAGTTCGAATCTCCCGGGGGAAAATATTCCACAAAGCAGGGGCCACAGCAGAGAAGGCCCCGCCAGCTAACACTCTTTGGCTGATGGAATCTACAGCATGTCCCACCTGTTGGATGGATGGATATAGAGTCCAGGGGTAGGCAACCTTGGCTCTTTTATGACTCGTGGACTTCAACTCCCAGAATTCCTGAGACAGCCATGCTGGCTCAGGAATTCTGGGAGTTGAAGTCCACGAGTCATAAAAGAGCCCAGGTTGCCTACCCCTGATATAGACATTTGAAAAAAAGATGGCCCTTCTGCCAACTTTTTGGTTACGGCGACCGATCCAGTTTGCATCTTGCAATAAGTCACTGTTTTCAATGCTGGAGTAACTTCAAACAGCCACTAGACAAATGGGTGTAAGTCGAGGGCTACCTTTACTGAGAAACGCAGACCTGGCTGCAGAAGAGGCCTCAGAAGAAGAAGTGGGCTGGGGAGGAGAGGCTTGGCTGCCAGGTGAGTGGTTGCGGGGCAGATGGAGCAACTCCACACCCTCGCCCTAGCTTGATTTATAGGTGTGTGCCTTGTCCCAAAACTAGGGCTTATTGTTGGTGTAGGCCAGGGGTAGGCAACTTTGGCACTTTTATGACTGGTGGACTTCAACTCCAAGAATTCCTGAGCCAGCCTGGCTCAGCTTGGAAACTCTCCCTTTCCCCTCAGCATGGCTGGCTCAGGAATTCTGGGAGTTGAAGTCCACGAGTCGTGAAGGGGGCCATAGTTCCCCCATGCTGACTGAGGAATTCTGGGAGTTGAAGTCCATGAGTCATGAAGGGGGCCATAGTTCCCCCATGCTGGCTCAGGAATTCTGGGAGTTGAATCCACGAGTCATGAAGGGGCCAAAGTTTCCCTCATGCTGGCTCAGGAATTCTGGGAGTTGAAGTCCACCAGCCATGAAGGGGCCAAAGTTTCCCTCATGCTGGCTCAGGAATTCTGGGAGTTGAAGTCCACGAGTCATGAAGGGGCCATAGTTCCCCCATGCTGGCTCAGGAATTCTGGGAGTTGAAGTCCACAAGTTGTAAAAGAGCCGAGGTTGCCTACCCCCTGGTGTAGGCCTTGCTTACAGGGAAACAGGGTAAATCTGTTGAATTCCTGACCCTTCTTTTAAACGTCTTTTCTTTTTTTCCCAGCAAGACCTTTGCACATTCTTAATATCACGAGCGTGCAAGAACTCCACACTGGCAAACTATCTGTACTGGTAAGTAAGCTTATGGAACTTCTCAGGGCTGACAATTGTTGACAGGTGCAATTTTAATAGACTCGGAAATACAGAGTTCCTTGATATTAATCAGTGTGGTGAGGCCACACTTGGAATACTACGTCCAGTTTTGGTCACCACTCTGTAAAAACTATATTGAGACTCTAGAAAGAGTGCAGAGAAGAGCAACGAAGATGATCAGGGGACTGGAGGCTAAAACATATAAGGAATGGTTGCTGGAATTTGGTATGTCTAGTCTAATGAAGAGAAGGACAAGGGTTATCATGATAGCAGTCTTCTAGTATCTCAGGGGCTGCCCCAAAGAAGAGGGAGTCAAGCTATTCTCCAAAGCACCTGAAGGCAGGACAAGAAGCAATGGGTGGAAAATAAGGAGAGAAGCAACCTAGAACTATGGAGAAATTTCCTGACAGTTAGAACAATTAATCAGTGGAAAAAGCTGCCTCCAAAAGCCGTGAATGCTCCAACACTGGAAGTTTTTAAGAAGAGACTGGAGAGCCATTTGTCTGAATTGGTATAGGGTTTCCTGCCTGAGCAGGGGGTTGGACTAGAAGACCTCCAAGGACCCTTCCAATTCTTCTTCTTCTTCTTCTTCTTCTTCTTCTTCTTCTTCTTCTTCTTCTTCTTCTTCTTCTTCTTCTTCTTCTTCTTCTTCTTCTTCTTCTTCTTCTTCTTCTTCTTCTTCTTCTTCTTCTTCTTCTTCTTCTTCTTCTTCCTTCTTCTTCTTCTTCTTCTTCTTCTTCTTCTTCTTCTTCTTCTTCTTCTTCTCCTTCTCCTTCTCCTTCTCCTTCTCCTTCTCCTTCTCCTTCTCCTTCTCCTTCTCCTTCTCCTTCTCCTTCTTCTTCTTCCTCTCCTCCTCCTCCTCCTCCTCCTCCTCCTCCTCCTCCTTCTCGTTATTGTTATTGTTATCAGTTCTCCTGCTTACAATCATCACATCAAAGTCATCTGATCAAAATTTGCGTAGCTGGGATTTATTTATGACCGTTGCACCTTCCTAGGCTCAACTGGCCACCATTGATGACCATCCCAGTTGTCTTCCAACAAGCAAAGTCAATGGGGGGAAGCTGGCTTCATTTAATGACTAAGTGATTCACTTAACAACCGCAATGGTTTGCTTAAGAACCGTGGCAAAAGAAATATTGTCAAATCAGGCGTGATTCATTGCTTAGCCATGGAAATTCTGGTCCCCATTCTCGTAAATCGAGGACGGCGTGTAGACATTACCTTCTCTCCCCAAACTGGTCCTTTGCAGCTCTTTCTCCCCCAGTCATCCCAGTTTCTTCTTTTCCCTCGTGAAAGGTACGTGATTGTTGAGTGCGAAGACCGAGACACGCAACAGAGGGATCCCAAAACTCACGAAATGTACCTGAACGTCATGCGTAGGTTTAGTCAAGCCCTCTTAAAGGTGAGAATTTGTTTTGTTTTGTTTGTTTTGTTTTCACGTGCAATAGGGCAAGGCTTTTCAACCAGTAGTACGGGTACCACCTGTGGTACATTGGCATCTGGCAGGTGGTACGCAACCATCCTAGAAAAGTAGCGGGGGAGGGGAATGAGCTGAACCAGTGGCAGCACCGCACAAGCCTGAGCGAGAGACGGCTGGAGCTGCAGGGCTGTCAGGGCTCAGCGGAACCGCCAGGATCAGTGCCGCTTTCCAGCTGATCGGCGCTTCTTCGGGGCTGTCAGGGCTCAGTGGAAGCGTCAGGATCAGCGCCAGGCTCCAGCTGGAGCTCGGCGCTGATCCTGGCGCTTCTGCTGAGCCCAGAAGAAGCGCCAATCAGCTGGAACGTTGCAGCATCTCCAGGTCTTGTGATTTACATTCAGATGCTTGGCAACCGATTCATATTTATGACGGTCACAGTGTCGCAGGGTCATGTGAAGTGACCAAAACCTGCTGCAACCACCCAGCAGATGGGGGGAATAAAAACCAAACACCCCGCACCCCACCCCCGCTGCCAATCCTCAATATAAATGCTCACAACAATGGAAACCTCGGACAGGAGGAAGAGCGCCGCCAGGCAGGCAGGCAGGTGTCTTGCTCGGCTGTGGCTTGGGGGGCACTTTTTTCAATGCCATTGTAACTTCGAACAGTCACTAAGCGAACTGTTGTAAGTTGAGGACTACCTGTACTTCATCACTTTTTTCCTTTTTTTGAAAGGGGGTCATCAAGTTTTTGACACCTTGCTAGGCGACTGGTGGTACTCGGATGTTGCCATATCCTAAAAGTGGTACAATGGGTGAAAAGTTTGAAAAGCCCTACAATAGGGACATTGGAGAAGCAGGCGAGAAGCAAAAGAGAATGTTTGTTAGCTCATTATAATAACAATAACAATAATAATAATAAAGTTGGAAGGGACCTTGGAGGTCATCTAGTCCAACCCCCTGCTCAGGCAGGAAAGCCTATACCATTTCGGACAAATGGCTGTCCAGTTTCTTCTTAAAAACTTCCAGTGTTGGAGCATTCACTGCTTCTGGAGGCAGGTTGTTCCACTTCTTTTCCAAAGCCCCAGAAGGCAAGAAAAAGGGTGGGAAATCTGAAAAAGGTCAAATCATGGCCACTGGACCAAAGTTTATTAAAACTGAGAGGTGTCGTTACCCATCCTAGTAACTTCTTCGATCCAAATGAAAATTTTGGGTAGGCAGAGAGTCGTGGGAAAGAGCCAACTCTTGTCCAACAGGCTGAAAAAGTGAAAAGCAACACGTAAGTGAAGGTTCAATCATCCAGGCCAACTTTGGTCCAGTTGCCATGATTTAACCCTTTGAGATACTCTTGGCCTGGATGATTGAGTCTTCATTTACACCATGGATGGCAACTAATCAAAGAGAGAAGAGACCTGGAATTAAGGAGAAACTTCCTAACAGTGAGGCAATTAACCAGTGGAACGACCTGCCTCCAGAAGTTGTGGGTGCTTCAAGGTTTTTAAGAAGTGACTGGACGGTCACTTGTCCGAAATGGTATAGGGTGTCCTATCTGAGCAGGGGGTTGGACTAGAAGATCTCCAAAGTCCCTTCCAGCTCTATTCTGATTGCAATTGTTCCTTGATGTTCTCTGAGCTTGGTAGTTTTCTTGCAGATATTTCATTATCCAACTAGATGACTTCAATAGTGCTAGAAGGGAGTGGGGTTTGCTCTCTATTTAGATATAAATGGCGTGCCCTGCCAGGGTTGGTGGGTGTGGTCTTGATGGTTCCTTGGT